AGCAAAAGAGTGAGTGGGAGGAGGAGACAGGGAAAGAGAATGAGAGAATCTCAAGCATTCTCAAGGCTCCAATGCCCAGTGTGGAGCCCAAATGTGGGGTTCAATCCCACAACCCTGAGATCATGACCTGAGTAATCTTAACACTTTGAATATTTTGGCCTGCTGCTTTCTTCTTCTTCTTTTTCAAGATTTTATTTATTCATTTGCGTGCAAGAGAGAGAGAGCATGAGCGGGGAGGGGCAGAGGGAGACCGAGAAGCAGACTCCCCACTGAGCAGGGAATCTGATGCAGGACCTGAGCCAAAGGCAGACGCTTAACCAACTGATCCACCCAGGCACCACTGGCTTTCTGACCTAGAAGTTTTCTTTTTTTTTTTTTTAAAGATTTTATTTAATTATTTGTCAGAGAGAGAGAGGGAGAGAGAGCAAGCACAGGCAGACAGAATGGCAGGCAGAGGGAGAAGCAGGCTCCCTGATGAGCAAGGAGCCCGATGTGGGACTCGATCCCAGGACGCTGGGATCATGACCTGAGCCGGAGGCAGCTGCTTAACCAACTGAGCCACCCAGGCGTCCCTGACCTAGAAGTTTTCTAATGAGAAATCTTATTGAGGATCTCATGTCTCTTCTTTAAGATTCTCTCTTTGGTTTTGGAAAGTTTGATTTTTAATGCATCTTGGTGTGGGTCTCTGAGTTCATCTTGACTAGAGTTCATTGAGCTTCTTGATTGTTCATATGCATGTCTTTCACTGAATTTAAGAAATTTTTAGTCATCATTTCTTCAACTATTCTTTCTATCTCTTTATCACTCTCTTCTTTTGAGACCCTAACAACGCATGGTTCATCCACTTGATAGTGTTGCACAGGTTTTGTAGGCTTCATCCACTTTTCTTCAATCTTTTTTCTTTCTGTTTGATGGGCTCAGTGATTTCCATTACCCTATCTTTTTATCTCCTGCTTCTTTCTTCTGCCTACTCAAAATTGCCTTTGTGGGGCGCCTGGGTGGCTCAGTGGGTTAAAGCCTCTGTCTTCGGCTCAGGTCATGATCTCAGGGTCCTGGGATTGAGCCCCGCATCGGGCTCTCTGCTCGGCGGAGAGCCTGCTTCCTCCTCTCTCTCTCTGCTTGCTTGTGCTCTCTCTCTCTCTCTCAAATAAATGAATAAATAAAATCTTTAAAAAAAATTGCCTTTGTACTCCTCCAGTGAATTTTTCACTTCAGTTATTAAACTTAATAGTTCCAGGACTTCTTTTAGTTTCTCTTTAGATTTTCTACCTCTTTACTGATAATTTCCATTATGTTTATACATCGTTTTCTTGACTTTCTCCATGTCTTCCTTTAGTTCTTTGATCATCTTTAAGAAAGTAGTTTTAAAGTATTTGTGTAACAGATCTATCATCAGGTCTTACTCAGGGACAGTGTCTATTGACTTATTTTCTTCCTTCAAATGGGCTCTACTTTGCTGTTTGTGAAAGAAGCAGCAATAAGCAATTAGAACACAGAGGCCCAATATTTGGAGGACAGGATACCTTTAGGCCAGCTGGCTCCCCCAGCTCTTTGCAAGCTGCTCCAGGAACACATGCACAGATGCTACCATAGTGCTAGGAATAAAGGATGGTAAGTGCTAGTGTGCCAAAAGCTGGAATTGATTAAAATTAACCCCAATTTATGGTCTAAATCTTCTCTTGGAATTCCAAAGCTTTCTATATACTCCAGAGTTCCAAAATAGTTCTATCAGTCAGATTCTGACACTGTAATATAGTCTAGATGGGGAGATAAATTGGAGCTTCCTACTCTACCATCTTTCCAGAATCTGCTGAATCTGTGGTTTTTTTTTTTTAATGCTATGAGTTAACTTCTAAATTATTTTTTTTACATTTAAAAAAATTTTTATATGTTCAGTTAGTCAACATACAGTTTTTGATATAGTGTTCAACAATTCATCAGTTGTGTATAATGCCCAGTGCTCATCACAACACATGCCCTCCTCAGTACCTGTCACCCAGTTACTCCATCCTTCCAGCCCCTCCCTTCTGTAATCCTCAGTTTGTTTTTCAGAGTTCAGAGTCTCTCATGGTTTGTCTCTCTCTCTGATTTATTCCCATTTAGTTTTCCCCCTCTTCCCCTATGGTGCTCTGCACTATTCTTTATGTCTGTGTATGAATGAAACCATATGATAATAGTCTTTCTCTGCTTGATTTATTTCACTTCGCATAATACCCTCAAGTTCTATCCATGTCAATGCAAATGGTAGGTATTCATCCTTTCTGATGGCTGAGTAATATTCCATTGTATTTATGAACCACATCTTGTTTATCCATTCATCCACTGAAAGACATCTCAGCATCTTCCACAATTTGGCTATTGTGGACATTGCTGCTATGAACATTGGGGTGCATATGCCCCTTTTCACTACATCTGCGTCTTTGGGGTAAATACCTAGTAGTGCAATTTCTGGGTCATAGGATAGCTTTATTTTTAACATCTTGTGTAAATACTGTTTTTCAGAGTGGCTGTACCAGCTTGCATTCCTACCAACAGTGTAAGAGGGTTCTCCTTTCTCCAAATCCTTGCCAGCACTTGTTGCTTCCTGTTTTGTTAATTTTTGTCATTCTAACTGATGATAAGGTGGTATCTCATTGTAAGCTTTACCCTTAAGGTCAGGAACATGACATGGATGCCCACTCTCACCATTATTGTTCAACATAGTACTAGCAGTCCTAGCCTGAGCAATCAGACAACAAAAAGAAAAAAAAGGCATTCAAATTGGCAAAAAGGAAGTCAAAATCTCTCTCTTCACAGATATATGATACTTTATGTGGAAAACCAAAAAGACTCCACCCCCAAGTTTCTAGAACTCATACAGCAATTCAGCAACATGGCAGGATACAAAATCAATGCACAGAAATCAGTTGAATTTCTATATACTAAAAATGTAATTTAAGAAAGATAAATTAAGGAATCAGTTCCATTTAAAATAGCACCAAAACCCATAAGATACCTAGAAATAAACCTAACCAAAGAGGTAAAGGATCTATACTCTAGGAACTACAGAACACCTATGAAGGAAATGGAGGAAGACACAAAGTGATTCCATGCTTACGGATTGGAAGAATAAACATTGTGAAAATGTCTATGCCACCCAGAGCAATCTATGCTTTCAGGGCAATCCTTATGAAAATACCATTGACATTTTTTCACAGAGCTGAAACAAACAATTCTAAAATTTGTATGGAACCAGAAAAGTCCCCCGAATCACCAGGGGAATATTGAAAAAGAAAACCAAAGCTGGGGGCATCACAATGCCTGACTTCAAGTTATATTACAAAGCTGTAAGCATCAAGACAATATGGTTCCAGCATGAAAACAGACCTATAGGCCAATGGAACAGAATAGAGAGCCCAGAAATGGACCCTCAATTCTATGGTCAAATAATCTTCAACAAACCAGGAGAGAACATCCAATGGAAAAAAAACAGTCTCTTAAATAAGTGGTGCTGAAAAAATTGGACAACCACATGCAGAAGAATGAAACTTGACCATTCTCTTACACTATACACAAAGATAAAGTCAAAATGGATGAAAGACCTCAATGTGAGACAGGAATCTATCAAAATCCTAGATGAGAACATAGGCAGTAACCTCTTTGACATCAGCCACAGTGACAAGACATGTCTCCAAAGGCAAGGGAACCAGAAGCAAAAATGAACTTTCGGGACTTCATCAAGATAAAAAAGCTTCTTCACAACAAAGGAAACAGTAAACAAAACTAAGAGACAATGCATGGAATGGGAGAAGAAATTTGCAAATGACATTTCAGATAAAGGGCTGGTATCCAGGATCTATAAAGAACTTACCAAACTCTATACCCAAAAAAACAAATAATCCGTCAAAAAAATGGACAGAAGATATGAACAGACCTTTCTCCAAAAAAGACATACAAATGGCTAACAGACACATGAAAAAATGTTCAACATCAACAGCCATCAGGGAAATACAAATGAATTATTTATTTAATTAATAAGCTTTCATTGTTTAAAGTGGCCTTCTCACTGCATCAAAATATTTTTTTGTTCAAAATATTGCAAGATGTATTGAGTTTTAACACCTGAATTGAGTGTAGTCTTAGAAATTTGTTTTAAAACTTGTAAAGTATAGAGGTTTTTAAAATATTCATTATTTTTATTACTGATTTTAACTAAAATTTTAGTCAGATATTTTGTCTAAATATTATAAAATTTTTTATAGTGCATTAAGTCTTCCTTTACCATCAATATGTGGCTAAAATAAGAGCTAGGATCTTAGTTCTATTCCCCCACATTTTAAACACTGGTCATAAAGTCATATGGCATATAAAAGAGCAGCAGAAGACCCTGTTATTGCCCAACTACCTACTTCCACTATCAGAAAGTAGGATGTCACTGAGCTGAACCTAGATATTATTGTTGAACATCTCCTTCTAGACAGTCTTCAGTTATCCTAGTATCCCTTGAGACTAAACCAATGAAGACTTATAAGAGGAAATAAGGTACCATTATTCAAAAATATCCACTCAGTTATTAACATTGTACATCACACTGGTTGTTTAGATCTCTTGCTTTTTAGGGTCATCAGAATTTCCTCTAGAAAAGGTTGAGGAGCCAATGGTAGACTAACCTCTTTCTAGCTCATTCTGCTTTTCCAGGTGAATATACTTATGTAAATAGGTGTACTATTAATTTAAGATTATTTTCCACTTATTTCATAGATTGATTATGGCATATATATGGAGATAACATCATTATAGAAAAATCCATAGTTTTGCCCACTTGTGTTCCAATATATGACAGTAACCTCCAGATGGAATGATTCATAATCACTGGAGGAGAAATTCTTTGGAAAAACTCTGTGAGTTCTAACCTTTTTAGAGGCATGAGCTGGAGAACTACAGGTCTTCTATATTATCTGTATCTACTATATGCTCAGTAAGGTAGTTGAATTGTATCCATCGTTATTCTCTTATTTCAGGTCAGGTCAAAAATTGGCTATTGTCCACAGTTTGATGCTTTGCTGGATTACATGACTGCCCGGGAAATTATGGTCATGTATGCCAGGTTGTGGGGGGTTCCTGAGACCCAGATTACACAATATGTGAATAAATTGTTGCAGTCACTGAATCTGGAACTCTATGCTGACACGTTTATTTACACTTACAGGTGAGATATTACACTGGTGCTCTCATTGCAGCTAATATTGATAAGTCTCCTGTGTTTCTGCTCTTTGGAATGGGTGCTGACTGTTTAACCAGAGTTCCACTGACAGACAGAGGCAACTGTGAAGCAATCTCATGCCCTGCCAGGGTTTAGATGCCTGCAGTAAAGCAGACCTAGACAGTATCATATCTTCCCTTTGCAGAGATGGAACTCAAAATCTTGGTGCTATTAGAATTGTAGCCATTGAATTTACAAAAGAGCCTGTTTTTCTACCTCTATAGTTCTGTGTCTTTCAAATAAGGGAAATGCAAGGTTCTTTGTATTAGCCTGGCCACTATGTAGTTTATGTATCTAGGAATCTCAAGGAATCTCAAGAATAAGATTATAAATTGCCCTGATAACCTGACTAAAATTGATGTTGTAAACAAAAGTCACCTTTCTACATTTCAAATGAAAATGATTTGATTTATACAGGTGGTTTTGGGTCTGGTGCCTTGGTTGAGCTGCATGTAATCAGCATTTTTAGTACCACTGCTTGTTCCCTGACTCAGCATTTTGGAAACAGGCGAATTGTTTTCTGTTAATGTGTTAAATAGATGTTTGATGTGTTAAATTACTGTAACGTAATTTAATCTCTGCTTCTGCATTCTTGACTATGAAGTGGAGGAAACAAACGTAGACTGAGTAATGCCATTGCCCTAATGGGAAAGCCCTCAGTCATCTTCCTGGATGAGCCATCAACCGGCATGGACCCAGTGGCCAGGCGTCTGCTCTGGAACACAGTAACAAGGGCACGTGAAAGTGGCAAAGTCATCATCATTACCTCTCACAGGTATGGTTTATTGGGAGGCTTGATTAAGTGTTGGAAGCGTTTTCATGGCTATGGGAGGGCATTATCTGGGGATTGTAATACTGGACAGTAAATGTGCCTAAGTATGAGCTCCTACTGAATCCTAAAGAAAGGAATGATTCTCACTGAGAGGAGAGGGCAGAAAGTTTATGATCTGTTCCATTTGAGAATTTGGTCTTCAACTACTTTGTACTTGAAAGTGTTTCCACTTTCCATGATGATGATGGGCAAATGCAAATTCCCATTTTAAAGAGTTACAAAATACTGGAAAGTTGAACTACAAAATATCTTCCAATGAAGATCTTTTCAGCCTTACATTGTTCTGGTGTCTTGTTTTGCTAGCATGGAAGAATGTGATGCCCTCTGTACCAGGCTGGCTATCATGGTGAAGGGAAAATTCATGTGCCTGGGTAGCCCTCAGCACCTCAAGAACAAGTTTGGCAATGTTTACATTCTGAAAGTTAAGTTCAAGATGGATACAGATGAGAATGAATTAAAGGATTTTAAAACCTACATTGCAACAGTTTTCCCAGGTAAATTAGGTTGGTTTGGCTAACTTTGTTAGAGATGTGTTAAATCATATTAGTTGTTTTCGCCACCCTGGTGGCATCTCCAATAACTATTTCTTGTGAGATATTGATACTTATTGATCTTCCATATTGATATCCTTTTTATTTTTAAAAAACTATTTTTAGAGAGAGAGGGTGCACAAATCAGGATGGAGAGGGATAGATGGAGATAGAAAATCTTAAGCAGGCACCCATGCTGAGTGTGGAGCCCAATATGGGGCTCGATCTCACAACCTGAGATCATAACCTGAGCCAAAATTATGAGTTGGATGCCTAACCAACTGAGCCACCCACGTACCATTGGAGATCCTTTTCAATGTTTGTTCTTATAAAATTCTTGTGCCTGGTTGTGATAAGAAGTTTTCACAGGAAAAAACCCACAAACAAATACAGTTGGCCCTTGAACAACATGAGTTTGAATGCATGGATCAACTTATACAGGGATTTTTTTTTTTTAAGTAAGTATAGTACTGTAAATGTATTTTCCTTATAGTTTTCTTAATAGCATTTTCTTTTCTCTTACTGTATTGTAATAATACAGCATATAATACATATGACATACACAACGTATGTTAACTGACCATCAGTAAGGCTTCTGGTCAATAGTAGGCTATCAGTAGTTAAGTTTTGGGGGAGTTGAAAGATATACACTAATCCCTGTATTGCTCAAATGTCAATAGTATTCACCAACCTTTTGTATATTAACTAGTAGGGCAGTTGTATATTAGGACTATCTGTATGATTTATATATCTAAAGTCATATGTTTGAGCGTAATTCTCAATTACTTGCCCATATAGTCTGTATAAGTCTGCTAGGGATGCTATAATAAAATACCACAGACAAGGTGGCTTAAACAACAGAAATTTATTTTCTCACAGTTCCCTGGATAGAAGTCCAATATCAAGGTTTCAAAAAGTCTGGTTTTCCCTGAGACTTCTCTCTTTGGCTTGCTAATGGCTGCCTTCTTGCTGTGTCTTCCCAAAGTCTTATCTCTGTGTGCACATCCCTGATGTCTTTTCCACCTCTTGTAGGGACACCAGTTATAGTGGACTGAGGCCCTATCCTTAAAACCACATTTAATGTTAATTACCTCCTTAAAGGCCTTTTGTCCAAACACAATCACATTTGGGATTGGGATATGAATTTGGGGGGATACAATTCAGTCCATAATATCATCCATCAAAACTTTAAAGATTTTTGGGCTGCCTGGGTGGCTCAGTGGGTTAAGCCTCTGCCTTTGGCTCAGGTCATGATCTCAGGGTCCTGGGATCGAGCTACACATTGGGCTCCCTGTTCAGTGGGGAGTCTGCTTTCCCCTCTCCCTCTGCCCCCCACCACTTTGCACACTCTCTTGTGCATGCTCTCTCTCTTTCAAATGAATAAATAAAATCTTTAAATAAATTAATAAAGTAAACATTTCAGAAATAACTAAGTACCAGGAACAAAAAGTATAGGAGGTATAAGGGACATGGAGACTGGAATGGAAAAAAAGAGGAAAATATCACACAAAAAGATAAACAAGCTTTTGAGAGAAAGTAAGAAAGAAAGAAAGGAATGTTAATACAACACAACCATAAAAGTAGTCTACAATGAAAAAAGTCACAGAATAGAATAACTACTAAATACTATCAAGAAAATTTCCTAAAATAAAAGAAGACCACTGAAAAGGCAATCAGACACCCACCCAAAAAACTGACCTCAAATTATTAATGCCGATGAATATTCTAATATAATTATTGCACTTTAATAACAAAGTAAGGGGGGACCTTTGGATTTGCAGACAAAAAGACAAGTAATATATAAAGGAAATAAAATCAGTTGAGCACAGACTTTATAACAAAGTTTTATGCTAGGAGAGCGTGTAAGATATTTAAGATACTCTGTGAAAGAAAAATGCAAGCAAAGTTTTTTCCTCCAACCAAAATGACTTTGACGATTAAAAGTCACAGTCATGAACACATAAGAACCAGGGAATATTGTTCCCGTCAGCCCTTTCTGAGGAAAATACAAACTAAAAAGTTACAGATCAACTAAGAAATGATTAGAGAAGCTTCTGCATAAGAACTAATAGACATTGAAAAAATGTAACTGTAGAACTAGGGCTAAATGAAGGGTATTCATGTGATAAAATATCACATAATTGATATATATTTTAGAAATGTATGTATAATACAATTATCAAAAACGGGAAGAAGGCAAAGAATATATGGGAAGCTAAATATTATTGAATATATACTAGGTATTAGCTGTGAATGATAAAATATTGCTTGAAATTGCATGTTTTTGAAGGAACTAAGAGATTACTAGCACAGAGAATGTTTTTCACAAGTGGAAACAAAGGACAGTATTTCTTTTTTTTTTTGCATTTTTAAAAAGATTTTATTTATTTATTTACTTGACAGAGAGAGACACAGTGAGAGAGGGAACACAAGCAGGGGGAGTAGGAGAGGGAGAAGCAGACTCCCCACTGAGCAAGGAGCCTGAAGTGGGACTCGATCCCAGGACCCTAGGATCATGACCCGAGCTGAAGGCAGACACCCAACAACTGAGCCACCCAGGTGCCCCCAAAAGACAGTATTTCAAAAAGATGGGATTATGGACACTAGTATAAAGATATTAATATGAAGTTATTCATTAGAACAAAAATATAAACCTTGTGTATTGCAAATATAACAGGAAGCAGAACCAACTACCTTACTGAGAGTGTGTTCATTTATGTATGTACATAGATCTGTGCATTTCCATTTCCATGTAAATATAGAACAATGTAGGGGAACTGCTACAGAACATATTGGTACTATCAACCAATCAATCAATAAAAAGGCTTAACTCCAAAAAAAAAAAAAAAGAAAAAAAAAACTTTTTCAGTTTGCTTAACAAGCAAATTCCAACTCTCTGCTGTATATAAAAAAACACTACTAAAGCAAACTGAATAAGAGAGATTAAAAGAAAAGAATGGTCTTCATGATTTTATGCTAGCTCCAATATACAACTTTTAACAATATATTAAAATTTTAGCAAAATCTTACTATCTGGTGTCCATCAATGCTTGCCTTCTATAAGCAAATACTTTCATCCTGTTTCTTCCTGCAGGTACCTATCTCTCCCCACATATTTTGTTAGTTGTTTGTCCAGTGTTTGCCTAATCACAGAACTGATAATTAAAGAAAAGACATTACTTTGCAATTTGTCCAAACTTTCCTTGTTTGAAGCATGGGAGTGACACCCTTTCCCACTTTTCACACCTCTGAGGTGAAACCAAAGTTGGTACAACCAATTATAAATAGAGCAATGCCCCAAAATTCCACCTTTAGCTTTATCTTAGATACTTGCATCTACCCGTCCTATGAGAAAAGTAAAATTTAATATTTAAATCAGTGATATTCACAATAGTTAGACTCTAGAAGTCCCCCATATGTCTATCAGCATGGAAAATGAATGAATGAAAATAAATTATGAAGTATCATATACCAAATTACTGTACAGAAAGGAAAAATGAGTGAATCATAACTATACGAAACAGCATGAATGAAACTTATAATATTGAGTGATGTCATCAAGATGACAAGATGGGTCATTCTTGACTTCAGTCCCAGTTACAAGAAGAACAACTAGGAATTATCCATAGATGAGACACCACTGTGAAAATCCCAAAACCTGGGAATGAGGCTAAAGCAGCCTCCTGGACAGCAGAGACTGAGAAGGACCACATTAGAAGGGTAAGAGGAGCAGCTACATACTGACCTCATCACCCTTTTCCCCAGGCCGGCACATTGAGAATGCCCTCCCAGGCCTATCGTTTCTCCAGTGGGGAAAAAGAGAGCCAAAGGTGAACATCAGGTTCTCCAGTATTCCTGGACACTTTCTGGGAGGCCCACTTGGGTCTCACCTTACAGAGATCACTGAGGAGATTTACCACTGAGCATCGCATTGGAACAGAGAAAGTGGGTGGTACTTAAAGCAACCAGCACTCAGATCATGGCAGACCACACTGTTAATTATACTGGCATTGGAGCAGAGTTCCCAGTCAGCGGCTCTGCTCATCTGCAGAGCTGAGCTGGTGCTGTGTCTGGCCTGGGAGCTGGAGGGTACTTCTGCCTGATTTGGGTCCCCAGTCAACAAGCTGTGCCAGGTGTGGAGCCCGTTCTACAGCCTTGCTGCCCAGAGAAGCAAATGAAAATTACCAACCAACTGCTGAGTATAGCCACCAGTCCTGCCCAATGGTGAAGTCTGGCCAGAGAACCCAGGAAGCCAATAAGGCCACCCTACAGCTGTATTTTCATCATTATCTTGTCAGAGATTCTAGCTGATAGATCTGCCCAGTTGTGGAGCTGAGCCATTGGCCCTATCTGACCAGTGAACTCAGTGGGCAGCCTGCCTTATATGGATCCCCAGCCAACAAGCTATACCAGCTATGAAGCTTTTTTTATAGCCCTACCTGGAGAGAGAAGCAAATTTGCAGCCACACTCAACTGCTGAGTATCGCCTATGTCCGACCTGATTAGGAAGCTTGGACTGGGAATCAAACCAACAGTCATGTCCTACTGTTAAGTATAGTCTCTGGCCCCACATAACCAGGGAGCATGCAGAGTGATCTTGGACAGCCTTGGAACCTAGCCTGTAGTACTGCTCACCAGCAGATCCTAGATTGTGACCTTGCCCAATGGCTGAACAAAGCCTATGGAGCCCAGCCATGACCCCACATAGTCATGGAACATACCTGGTGGCCCTACCTGAAGACAGAACCCAGACAGTGACTCTGCCCAACTGTGGAACACAGTCTCTAGCTCCATGTAACCATGGGATACAGCTGGAGGCCCCCCAAAAGTAGCCCAGCCTGTGACCTTACCCAACAATGAAACACAGCTAGCAGCTTACTAGATCATAAGGGCCAGCCAGCCATCCTTCCCCCCCGTTTGAGACACAGTCATAGCCCCTGCATAATTTTAGAGCACAACCTAGGCCTTATCTGACTCTTAGGCCTTTCTTGTGGCTCCACTGGAACACAGAGACCAGATGGTAACACCATCCCATTGGGGAGCACAGCCCAAGGCCTCCCCCAAACAAAAGCAATGGTGCTTAGCCCCTAGCCCTACTCCAATTTGAAGTCCAAACACCTTCTGGCACCACCCTGGTAAGGAACACAGCCTGTACTTCATCTGCGCAGAAGTGGTTACAGAACCCAGGTAATGCTCGAATGCAAGCTCAGCTGGTAGGATAATCAAACCATAGAACACAGATAGCCACCCCTCTTCTCCCCCCACCTCAGAGCACAAGCATTGGACCCACCCAAACCAAGACCCTGATAACAAGCATTGCCTGCCCGTGGAAGTTACCACATAAATAGTCCAATACCTCAAGCTGATGGGGGAAGGTCTGTCCCTGCTGAAGTGAATCTATAAAGTCTAGGAGACTACTTAGTGAAATGTGCTGGACCACGGAGAATCAGGTAAACATAATACCACCAAAAGAAACTAATAGATCTCCAATAACTGACCCTAAAGAGAGATCTATGAACTATCTGACAAAGAATTTAGAATAATCCTTTTAAAGAGGTTTAGGAAACTACAAGAACACCCAGACAACTAAATAAAATTATTTGTACAATGCATGAACAAAATGTGCTTGTGATGGGTGTGCAGACAGTGAGTGCATGGAGTGGGTGACCTTCTAAGATAAATGTTCCTCCTATGTCAAGCATTTACTCCCTGGATGAGTCCATTGAGCTGCCACAAGAATCCAACAGTTTCCAGCCCAGAAACCTTAAAATCGTCCAGTTTTCCAGAGACTCCTTTGCTTTTCAACTAGTCTTATCCAGGGAGGCATGTGTTTATTAACTGTCTCTGAGCCAGGCACTCTGAAGTGCCACAATCTTCAAGCACAGTGTGAAAGTAGTGAGCACAAAGGGCTCAGCGAGTACCTATGTGTGTTTGTTCTTTGCTCCCAGAGCCATTGGACAGGAGGGCACTTTTGAACCCATGTTCTGACACCAGAACTGTTAAAAGATAAACTGGTGCATATTACAATTTTCAAGAGTTTATTAGAGCATTTATCAATTTTAATTGGGCAGCACCATGCTAAAGGTAATGAGGAGGAATCCACAACCATGAGCTAAGGGAGAGGTTTACATAGAAAAGACATGTGGGTAAGGAAGGGAGTATTTGGTTTGCTATAGCTTAAGCAGCTGCCTAATTTACAAAAATTTAGTTGGCTATTTGTAGCTGTCTGTTCTTGAGTTTTGTTTTCTGAGATTCAAGTGCATTTTACTCTGGTTTAGGTTTTGATTTGCTTACAGGCTACCAAGATACTGGACCCACCTCGGCCTCATGACTTCTTTGATTACTTTGACATATATTTTAAAACAATTATAACCCCAATTAATTGAACTGGTAATAATTTGAAAATATGCAATGATAAGTATGAAATGGATAGCCCCCCTTTCCTCTCTCATTCCACCAGTGGATTCTTATTCACCTGTAAAAGAAATAAGAACACACAACCTGACATCTGGGGATTTATATGTGTGATTTCCTCTTTCACAGGGTGTGTGAAGAGTAGTAAGTCTTGCCCCGCTTTACTCCCCAGCAAACACACTCTACATGCATACATGCACAACCAGAATGAAAATCCTGGCAGTTCGTAGTCTCAAAACTTGATTTATAGTAACAAGAGCATTTCAGAAGACTCAAGTTTTTTACATTGTGCATATGAGCTAATAATATTTTTTATGACTGAAGCCTGCTAAAAGAAGTAACCATGTCATGTATACTAAAGAGGTGAGCTTTTGGATAACGTCCCTCTTTTATTTGCCACGTTTATTCACCCCTTTGTTGTGTATAATTAAGATGATATTGCAATATTTTAAAACTTTAAAATGAAATCTGTAAGATTATTCATCTATCTTTCCTTTCCTAGGTAGTGAATTAAAACAGGAGAGTCAAGGGATTCTTAACTACTACATTCCCAGAGAGGACAATGGCTGGGGAAAGGTGATTGTAGCAACCATGCTCTTCTAATGTTACTTGTTAAGAAAGCACTAATGATGGGAAGTGTTTGGGACTGTCACACAGAATGGGAGCCTGATTTTGTAGAAGGAGCAAAGTCCATAAGTTACTTTTCAATGGTTCCTAGAGTTTAATTGCTTCAAATTTCCACCTCCAAATCACAGTTTTTGTCTCCCTCAAGAAAATGGGAACAGAGAACTGCTTCCTCACAGATTCTCAATGATCTGTCATTTTCTCATCTCCCCTGTCTGTGCCTTTTGTCATCAAACAATAACTTGGTAGGAGTTGGAGGAAGTGGTGGAGAGGCTCATCTGGGTTGGGCGCTGGAGGGGATGGCTGCAATGGTAACTGTACTTTTTTATTGCTGTCATTGCTAAAGGTGTTTGGTATTTTGGAGGAAGTTAAAGAGAAATTCAGTTTAGAAGACTATTCCATCAGTCAGATAACGCTGGAACAAGTCTTCCTGAACTTTGCTAACCCAGAGAACAAAGGAGGTGACTGAAACAAAAAGGTGCAATGAAATTCACTTCTAACTAATGATACTATGTCTTCCTTAGTACTCTACTATACTTGGATACATAGAGGGGCATTTCTGTGTGTATATCATTTCTGTGTGTATATCTTATTTATTTATGTAATAAAGAGTCCCCCAAAGGAATCCATATGTTAATTCTTTGTAGATTTACAGGGATGGCATGTACAAATCTAAAGACACTTGGTAAAATTCCTGTTTTCAATGCTAGAAACGTGTAAGAGCAGCATTTATCAGGGTCGGGAAAAGGACTTATTCCTGAGTATTTTGAATGTTTGAACAGAAACATTCAGGAATGATCAGGCTGTCAGATGGGATAGCCTGAAGAGCAAAAGCTTTATGTTTTAGCAGCTGAATTATAGGTAAGAGGATCCTAAGGCCTGGGGGACAAATTATCTTTCCCATGGATATTGATGTGCATGCTCACACACACACACACACACACACACACACAAATTTAAAAACAAAAAGTGTTAAAATCAATGTCAACATTTATGCGGATAAGTTATTTCCAAAATTTGAAACAAGATTCTACATTTGTCTATATTTATAAGAGAATCTTTGCACCAATAATATTTAGACTCCAAGAAAGGAAGAAAAAACATTCTTTAAAAATAGTATGTTTACTTTTCTACTCTTGCCCAATTCTCTGATTAAGAATGAGTGGAGAAATAAGGTATGGAGGGGGACAGAGTTCTTGTGATTCTTGTTTGGGCACATGGAGTCCCCCATAAAAACACATGAGAAATCTAATCACTGCTCTAGATTCATGTGCAGATAAACAGACAAGGAGAAAGATCCTCCTGAAATTTCAAGATGGAAAGAGTCACTGAAGCTGTTCTATTTTGGGGGTGGTTTGGGGGTGATGGTTTTTATATCCTCAGTTGTATATTGTAATGAAGTGATATCCAGTTTTTAGCTGTTGTATAACTTTCTGTGGGTTCCAACCAATATTACCGATAGATCTCTGCCACGTGATTTCAGTGACTGCAAAATTTATTTCCCAGGCGGCCATCTCTAAAAAAGGAGAGGAAAGTCATTTTATTAATTTAAATTTATTTTATTAATTTTATTTATTTGCAGCTCATCATCAGTTGGTTTTATTAATGATCCTCTAAAAAATTCCTTTAGTCAGGTAGTCTTTTTCACTGTCCCTGTTTCTCACCCAACCTCTTATCTTCCAGCAAGAAACAACAACAAAAAAATGTATACATTTCTCTACTAAGCACTTTACATACATTGCATCATTTAATCCTACTACAAACCTCTGGGTTAGGTAGTGCTGCTATTATCCTCATAGTACATCGAGGCTCAGAGGGGTAAAGGGATTTACCCAGGGTGACCCAGCAAGCAAGCAGATATATCTGTCAACATCCCCATTAGAAGCCAGGAAACAACACAGCAATTTAAACAGGGAAAGTTAAAAGAATTTATTAACTATAACAGGGAGTTAACCATAAGAAAGTACAGAGAAGGCTCAAGAATACACTATGGCAGAGAGAAAATACGCAAGGAAGAAACAAACTTGGAAGAAGACTCCTCCCCAAGGCTGAGATTCGGATCTTTTTGGAGAAGGTCAAGTTGGAAAATTCCTTGGACTTGGGTCAAGGCTTTTCCACACCTGCTGAGCAAGCAGGAAGTGTCCCGGTGGAGTACAGGCTGCCTAGGCCGGCCAACAGGGAACTGGCTGGACCTAGCAAGCAGGGAACTTTTCTGTGGTTGTTGACGGGCTGGTAGTAAGAAGGGGCACCTGCGAGAGTCACTGAGTATCCACTGTTAATGAGGGTTGGGCCTGTAGGGTGAATGCTGCGAAATGTCCTCCACACCTGCTGCTGACAGCCGCAAGGTGATAGCAAGAAGAATCAGAGAAAACACCTGAACCTGGACCAGCAGCCCTTGGTCCTGCAGGGTCCCTCCAGCACCCGCTCCTGACAAAGCTTAACCTGATCGTTCAAGAGCCCTGCTCCATTTAGCGCTGAGAGGCCAGAACCCGATACCGGGTCTAGTAGGGAAGCGATTTGCCCTGAGTTCAGAACTTGGGCTTCCAACCATCAAGCTACAGTGGAGATGCCTGTTGGCGGGGAGGATGCACCAACAGAAGCGGCCATCAACGCCTTGGAGCAGCATGAGAAAGGTGGGGGGCTGAGGCCCACTGAGTGGCTGGTGGGTCAGGGCAGGGCGCGCAGAGGACGCAGTGGGGAGCGGGGGGTCTCAACGCGCGGAGCGCCCACGGGCAAAGGCGGCGCATGCCACCCGGGCGAGGCGAGTGGCGGCGCGCCTTAGATCGGGTAGCTCCGCGTCTGGGCTTTGAGGGGCCCCGGGAGCGGGCTTGCGGGCCCCTGTGCCTGCACCTCCGCAAGTTTTCTGTTGATGCCCACAACCTTGGAGGGCGGCGGCCACTGAATCTCCTCCCACTTCCTGCCACCCGTACTGGCCCTCTGAGGGTGACTATGACACATGAGGGAGAGGGAAGCCAACGACAGAGGGAAGGATGGTCTGGTCGTCCAGTGGGGTGCAGAGGCGAAGCGCCTGGGAGCAAGCGAAAGGGCCCGAGGTAGGGCCCTCATGGGCCTGGGGCCTGGGGCAGCGTGCGAAGTAAGAGTTTAGTGAGGCCTCACGCTCTGAGGGATCCCGGGGAGGGTCTGGTGCGCAGGTGGGATAGGGAGACGCTTGCTGGAAAGGCGGTGAAGCCTGAGCGCACAAGGCTGCAGGGGCGGGGTGGGGACTGGGCAAGTGCGCGCATGCGTGAGGAAGGCGGCGGGACGCGCTCAAGCGGCGGGCGGCGGGTGGCGAGGCGGTTGGGGTAGGCGTTGCGAGGAGGCTCGGCGCCGGTGACGCGAGTCCCTCTGAGGTGGAGGTGGAGGTGTGGCCTTGGCGGTTTCGAGGCCTGAGCGGTGAGTGTGGGACCTCCCTACCCCTCTGTCTTCTCCCCAGATTCCCCCGGGGAGGCGGAAGGTCCTCTCCGGACTGCCCTGGAGGCCGACCCGCCTGCTGCACTCTGAGCGCAGAGCCCGAAAGTGTGAACAGCACACAACACCCCAAACCCCCAAATACACTGGAACCCTCCACAACCCTCTCGACTCCTCTCCAAAATGATACCCAAATCCCCTTGTGTGTAATATAGATAATATTACCTATACCTCACTGTCGAATGTCAGCGGCCGCTACACCCAGTGTCGACCCTCCACCCCGTTTTGCTTGTCCCTCCCTGGACCTCACTCCCATCCTTTTCCTCTCCAGGTCCCCCTGCATTGGAGAGTGCATCCAGGGCTTCTCAGGGGGGAGAAAGTATCCTCCCCCTCAAAACCACCAAAACAAGCACAGGAAGTGAAAGCCACTTCTCTGGACCCTGAAACACACAGAGAAGCTAACCAGAGCAAATTAAACAAATTTGTATTTTGACTGTGCCAAGTATTTGAAAGTCAGGGCTCTGGAGGCACATGTTGTGGGTCTAGGCCTGGGGAATCCAAATTTATTTGCTGCGTGACTGTCCCAGTCATCTGGAGCTGCTGTAACAGAATACTGCAGGCTGGGTGACTTGAACACAGCCAGTGTACTTCTGACAGTTCTGGAAACTGGGAAGTCTCTGATCAAAGCTCCATGAAGCTTCAGTGTGTGGTGAGAGCCTGCTTTCTGTTTCAGACAGGCATCTTCTCACTGTGTCCTTCACATGGCCGCGGGAGCAAGGGAGCTCTTGGGGCCTGTGTCATAAGGGCACTAATGCCATTCATGAGGGCTCCATCCTCATGACCTAATCACACGCCACGTGTCCCTGATGGTGATACCATCACACTGGGGTTAGGATTTCAACATACCAATTTGGGGAGAAGGGGAAGACGCAGACATTCGGATTATAGCAATGACCCAATAATGGAAATTAGGTATCATCGTCTAAAAGAAACTGGACATCACTTGTACCCATCTCTGAGGGTAATTTGAATATTTCAACTGATAGAACCTAGTAAATGTTCCATAAGTAGAGGAAGGGTATGGAAGTTAAGTGCTGCAGGAAGCTCAAGTGTCTTAGTTCTCCTCTGCCAAAGCAGAAATTGCACTGAACTAAGTTAAACTGTTAAACTAAGTTAAAGCCAAGGAAGACTTTATGCAAGGCATTAGGAACTGGGAAGAGAAGTCAGAACTGAGTCTGAGCTCAGTTCTGCTGAAACAAAGGATGGGAAGGTGTCTAAGGGCTGAATGAGACAGTGGGAATGTGCTGGAGGACTGTAAAGGGGAGGCTGACCAGTAGAACACACTGAGTAACTTCCTGAAGTTTGTTCCTGTGGTTCTCTGTGATTAGGCCATGTATGTTTTCTATTGGTGCCTGTTAGAAGCTAGCTCCTTCACTCCTACAGAGACGGGAATGGGGTGCTGTCTTCCCTCAGGATTACATTTCAAAGGATGACTTCCAGGTCCTTCAGAGAGAGAGTTTGGGGTGGTGAAACAGGTAAGAGGCTTGTAAAAAAGAGTTACATATGTTTTAAACAAAGAAAGGCTGTATAATGTTTTCTAAAGCAGACAGGCAGAGAAAAAGGTGGTCAGGACCTACAGCCAGGGAGAGTCACATGTATGGTATTAGTCCAGCTCAGAGGAACATTCAAGCCATCTTGATCACCTCATTTTATGCAAACTAGGCAGAAGATTTAAAAGGAAAGGTACATCTCTTTTACCAGAATTAAGAAAGCTGCTGTGTTTCATTCAGAACAGCTCAGTGCTTTTCAGAAAAGGAAAAGTGTGTGAGTATAAATCTCATTCTAAGAATTTAGGACTGTAGGCATTGTAATGGTTTAATTTTCTTTAACTCCTTTTATTTATTTATTTATTTTTTAGAGTCCACACATCAATAGATTGCCTTAAATTTTTCACACAGTCTAAGTTCATGTGCCTTCAACTTCCTCCTCCTTTCCCTCCCACCCGAGTTTTGCATCCAAGTTTGGGGTGGACAGGAGTGGGAACGCATTTAGTATTTAGGG